TGCACTGAGATCTGGAAGCATCTTGCAGAGGGATAAAACCATCTTCTTTGAGAGGGAACACTCTCCTCTGTTCTCACTTGTAGCCTGCAAACATAGGTACAGAATCACAGAATCCTAGGGGTTGGAAGGGACCTTGAAAGATCATCTAGTCCAGCCCCCCTACCAGAGCAGGGTCACCTGGAGCACATCACACAGGAACGTGTCCAGGTGGGTTTTGAATGTCTCCAGTGAAGGTGACTCCACAACCTCTCTGGGCAGCCTGTCCCAGGGCTCTGTCACTTTCACATTAAAAAAGTTTTTTTCTGATATTCACATTGAACCTCCTATGCTCCAATTTGCACCCATTACCCCTTGTCCTATCACTGGTCATCACTGAAAAAAGCCTAACTCCATCTTCCTGACACTCACCCTTTACATATTTGTAAACATTGATGAGGTCACCCCTCAGTACCCTGAGGAGAGTATTCTGTTGCTAGTAGTTTATAGTATATTAAAATGAAAATTAATAATACTTATTTTCTTATTTTCTTTTTTTTCCCCTTGAAGACCATGACAGTTCATCCAATCTTACTGTTGCATCTTCCACACAATCTACAACAACATCAGCAGTCGGTATGTACCTGTTCATTTGTCCATTACTAGGAACCTAGAAGCTAGCTCCAAACCCACCCCAGATCATACCAAATTCTAAATAAATACCCATCAAACCTGGGTATTTGAAAGAGCTATTATAATTTCAGGGCTCAGAAGAACATTTAAAACAACTCTGAAGCTATACTGTTTTTTAAGTTCAGCTATTGTGCTTCATCAGTAGAAGCAATGAATGACATTTGCAGTGCCACTGCAAAACAGGAGTCAAAACTTCCAAGTAATAATTGAGAGAAGGGTATCTTTTGAATGTCAGTTCTTTGTTTCTTGGCAAAATTCTTCCTTTCCATGAAGTAAGGATGAACAGGTCGTTTTGCAAACAATGCATATCTTTTGAATGTTATTTCACAGTAAATAGATTCAGGTCATAATGAAGTCCTGGGGCCTTGAGTTTCAAGAGTAAGACTCCATTTCCTTTTAGATAAGAGTAGTGACATTTTATACCATAGAAAATAGGCACTACAGAGTTTGTAGCATGGAACAGTGGAGTTCAAGCAAGGCATGAGTGGCAGGTCTGGGACAGTCTGTCACTGGGACTTTTTCATTTTGCTGGTGCTACCATCTTTCCTTCACAACTTGGCAAAAAACTATAGGTAAGGATGATTTTCCAAGACAGCAGTGTTGCAGTCATGAAGTTCCAAAATAAGTAGCATGTTTACAAAGCAGATCTTTGTAGAAAGAAGAAATACGTGTATTAGATAACTAGTAGAGTTTGAAAGGTATTTAAACTGGGACACAGTTTGTCCACTTGAATTTGCAGTGTTCCAACTTTTGGCTATGTCAATCTAAGATTATTTAGAAGAAATGTAAAAAAAAAGGTTTGCACAGGCATATTTCACCACATCAGTAAAGACTGAATAAGAATTAGTGTCATGCAGTTGTTCAGTCTGTGGTGTGCAGATAGAAGAGGTTGTATCTGAGAGACAAAAAGCTAGTTCCATGCATGAACTAGGTCTTCTTTGTGCAAAGAGCCATGTGAAAGCAGAAATATTGTACCTACCCTAACATATTTTGTCTATTTATGGAGTTTTATGCTGATCGTAAGGTCCCAACTATGTCATTCCATTTCCAATACAGCTATGTCTCTGTAGTATCCAGATAATTCTGAGCTACCACACTCAGAAGTTGCTTCGCAGTCATTTAAGAGTAAAATACAAGGAAAAAAAATAAGCAACAAAAAACAACAAACACTGCACAGACCTTTTGATAGCAAGGAAGTGGTGCAGTTTCTCATTCCATTGCCTGCACTGGTCTGGTTTATGCATGCCTAACTTGGAAAGTGGAGATATTTCTGTGATTCAGGCCTTCTCCATGTGTAAAGCCATTGTTAACCAAGGTGTTTCTCCCACCCTGTGCTCCAGCCCTTCCACCCTCCACGCCAACCCTGACTATGGGTTTCTTGCAGAGATCTGAACGTACTATGTCTACATAATAATAGTAAATGGGAGTCTGAGCCTTTCACTGTTAGGCACAGTACATACCTAACAGACAGCTGCTATGCCTTGCTTCACATGGTTCATGATTCACATCCTTCACTTTTTTTTTGTTAAAACTTCATAGACAATGTGCATCCATTTTGATTGTCTTGACCTCTTCAGAATAAAGAGTACTGGATATATGTACTTAGTTTTGCTTAAAGTCTTGGCTTTTGTTTTTTTGGGGTTTGTTGTTTTGGGGTTTTTTTTAAGTTTTTTAATCAGAGAAGCAAGAGTCTCTTTCATTTCATTTTTTCCATGCAAGGGAGAGTATTTATTCATTTTAGGAAGAGCATTCAATAATAATCATTTTTTATGTTAGCACAAAGCTTATGCAATTTGATTTATGTTTGTTCTTGTTGGGTTAGAACACTAAAGGAGCAGTGTATGCTAAGAATAGTCATTTTTATGCTGTGTATATGTATTTTGATTGATGGAGATAGCGTAGCTATTTAGTGTTTAAAAACAGGTAGCATATAAAGTAAAATACTCGTGTCTTTTAAAAAGACAGCATCATAAACCTGACCTATATTGCTGGCATCCATTCTTTTTAAATAATAAAAATTAACTCAGGCAGTCTGGGTTTGTGCAGCATGATGAATGAAGCCCAGCTGGTCTTTTCGGGTAAGAGTAATTAGGGAAATAAAAGACAGAAGGACAGATCTTGCTAGCAAATATTCTTTCATCCTAACTCTGTTGGTAAAATAGTACAGGTAAGATTTTTCAAAGACACAGAGGAACAGATTTATGCCCAATTCACATCAGCTTCTCAAATTCTCCAGCTGCCTCAGGTAGCCTCCCACTGTTGTTTTGAAATGACTGATGCTAAATAAATCATGAAAGATTAGTCTGTAGGGGATTAACCAGATTTTACTCTTAATATAAGTGTTACATCACCAAGTGTGGTAATCTTGATACAGTAAGAAAAAAGGATTGCTAGTAGGAAAGGGAGGGGAAAAAAGTAATGTGCAAATTTGCTGAAATTCTTCATGATACCTGCTTGGGTATTTTTTGTGCTGATTCAGGTGTTCTGCAGGGTAATTCAATGCCCATGGAACAAGTACCATCCTTGTGTAACGTCATATATTACTGTTACACATGGAACCAGTATCCATTGTATTGTTCAGAAACACAAACCAGCTTGACTCTTAGAATTCATGGATCAAGGAAAAAAAAATGTGGAAAATTGACTGGTTGACACTTGCATTCCAATTTGTATTTCTTTCCTTCCTTTTGTTTTATATTTTATATTAGGAATGCAGTTACCAGGTGTGGTTTCATATCATATAACTGTAGATGGTTTCCATATAAACATTTCCTTGCTTATTTCCTACAATGAGGAACCATTTGATATTTATAGATCATTGTGCCTTTGAGGAGTTTACCTGTCAGTATTAAAATGTGCCCTGAATTTTATCTGATGTGTTTTACACATGCTTCATAGAGGAACTGAATTTCCTAATTGTAACAAGGTAAGCACACGAGTATGGTACTCCAACTGTTCCATCTCAATGAATGCTCATTTCAAAGTGTTTTCTAGTGTTATGGCAAAATACAGTGATAACATCAAATAACAGGAAAATAAGTAACACTTACTGTGAGGACTGTATTAGACTGTTTCAGTAGTTTTAATGTTAAATGTCTCAGAAAAGTTGCTTTCTGAATGCTTACTCTGTCCTATTGCTTGGGTTTTTTAAGTTTTTGATCTGTACTGGAAACAGTGACACATAAGTCTTAGAAAAGACAATGTGTGGCTGCTCATGTTGTAAACCACACTTACAGGAAGGCATTTTAGGTTCGGTACCCCAAAAAAACCTCAGAAGTTGAATGTCACGTTTACTGTGGAACTGAGATTAAACTACTTATTCTTTGGTTGTTCTGGTTTTAGAGAATTTCAAGAAGACATGGGTAGAATTAGACTTTTGAATGTCTGTAAGGAAAAGCATTTTTAGAGTTTAAAGTTAACCCAGCTTGTGTGAGTTTATTGAAATAATCCAAACTAGACAGCTACAAAAGGAGCTGCTTCTCCCTAAAATTCCTTCATGTATAAAAGCTGGTTTTAGGATCACTATATCTGGCTGCCTGATACTAAAGTTCTAAGGATTTTGCTGTCAATACCAGTCTTTATTATTCTTGAATTTTGCTTCATGGTATTTTTTATTCTGAACAGTTCATTACTGCTTTATGAGGAGGGAAGGGGAAGTGTTAGGTAAAAGTAGAGTAAGACTTCAATATGCTAGGTGTCAATTAAACTTGTGAAACAGCATTCCAACCTTTGTTTTAACCCTGGCAAGAGAGCTCACTGCTAAATAAATAATAACAAGCCAACAGATATACTTTGGTTGAGCTTGTATCATATGTGGAAAATCCTTTTGAACCTCAAGTTTAACATGCATACAGAATTCTCTCTGGTAGGCTTAACATACATACAGCCTTTGTGTTTCATTCAAAAGTAAATTAAAGGTCAAATCGTTACTAAAACTGGGGGGCCAGGAGTGCCTTTTCATGCAGAATCTCTTCTTACAAGAAAATACTAGGTATCTGAAAAGTGGGCACTTCAAATGGGGAGTTACTCTTGATCCAGAACTCTATCACATTTTAAAGTACTGTAAGCTAGGCATGCTTCTGTGGAATTGGATAGTGTTATAAAAACAACACAAACCCACACAAACAACAAATGACTCTTCTAAAAGTTTTCTGCTATTATCCAGGTTTTCTTTATAGCCTTTCTTTAAAATGATTCCTTACCTCGAGTCCCAGAAATCAGAAGTTTGATCTTTCCAAAGGAAATGCGTAGGGAAGAGTCTGTTTGCAAGCCTGGATATCCATGCAGTGGCATTTTCATTGTTACTCTGTTACTGTCTTTGGGCATGATAAATGCTACCTTATTCAATAAGTATACAGTTGTATTTTAAGTATTTTTCTGTGTGGTATCACAAATAAAAATTTCCCAGGTGTGTCCACCAGTACTACCAATCTGACCAGTACCACTAAGCCCACCACCACCACGACTTTGCCTGTCACCCGGGTGACTCAGCCCACCAAAACCAGCCAGCCAGCAAATTCCACCACAGCTTCATCAGTCACGTCATCACATTTCAATATTACAGTGGTGACCACTTCCAAGACTTCTTTCACTTCTGTAACAGGTGAGTTCACACTTCAGGAATCTCATAAAGGCTTGTATGAATGTTGAGGTGCTGTACAATTTTAGGATCCTTACAGTAGTATGACAAGGAAGGTATTTGAATGCTGAAAAAGGAAAGTAAACTGTTGGGTTTTTTTAATTAAGTTAGTTATAATAATGTTTTGAGAACTCCACTTACTTGATAAGGCTTAACTTAACCTGAAATACCTGACATATGTAAGGAGAAAAAAATTGAAGTGGTGAAGTGAATCAGCAGCCACCAGCAAGGAGATTAGCAATGTTAGGAGAAAGTCTGGCTTTTGAATACAACTTCTGTATTTGTTCAGCTCTCCCTTCTGCAACTTGCTTGCTCTACTACTTCAATTCTAACATCTGAGCTGTGGTTCAAAACATGTCTACTGGTTTAGTAGAGACAATTTTGTTAGTCACATTTGTAGCTATGTAATGAATTTTATCCCTAATGGAGGGTAGCGTATGACTATGGATAAGTCACACTTCAAGTAAAATTTGTCAAATACAGTTTGACAGAACCTTTTAATAGAAAAACAGTAATTGTAGAATTCAGAATTTCCTTGCAGTTATCTGCTTGTTTGTACCACTTCATGCTTGCATTTCTAGACAGATCAGGGTTGCTCACATGTCAGTGAAGCATTACTGGGTAGGTGGAGCTGTCATCAGTAGAACTTCTAGTTGGCCAGGTAACACTCCCTGTGCCAAGTATAGAGGTGGGCGTGGGTTGGGTCTTTTGGTGTGAGTTTGTAGCAGATAAAACCAGTTCTCACATGGAAACTGCTGTGGCTTATCTAAGGTCATGTTGTCTATGTCAATATTTGTGTCAGGCTGCAGAGCTGATCTCACGTGGAGAGTGAGGGTACAATTCCATGAGACAAGGTGAAGCAATCTAGCATCTCATCACCACCAAAAGTATTTTACTTCCAATACATAAGTATGACTGACTTGGTGGTTATTGGATCCCTTTGCAGGCTGACTCACTATGCTCCTCTGACTAAAAGTAGCTTTTTTTTTTTCTGCTTGGGTTAATTTCAGGCCAGATTAGTGAGTTAATTTGGCTCATGGAGGGTATGAAAAACACTAGAACTGGCCTAAGAAAGGCAGGAACTACATGTGTGGAAAGAGGAGACTGCAGGGGAAATAAGGCAGAGGAAAGGAAGAGGTGGAGAGGAGAAAGGGAAATCAGTCTTTCAGAGGCAGCAAGCAATCGGATTACCTCCTTCTGCATTACCAGAATATGACACTTAAAACCACAGTTTCAATGTGCTTGACTGTTATCTTGCCGTTTGATCTATGTTATGTTTGTCTAGTTGTGTCTTTAGATGATATGTCAATGGGAAGGGCAAGATATAGAGGAGTCCCTCAAAACACACTCTTGCAAGCTCAGTAAAAAGTGCCTTTTGCTTTCTTCTTTCCAGCCACATCAAAATCTGAGACTGTCATAATCAAAACCTCCAGATTTGATGTGGGCAGTTTTGTAGGTGGCATTGTGCTGACACTTGGAGCCCTAGTTATCCTCTATATCGGGTGCAAAACGTATCATTCCAGAAGAGGCATTCAGTACAGAACCATGTAAGTTCCCAAGGGATTGTCCCTTGTCAATTTATTACTTTCTTGAGAGAAGTAAGGACAAACAAAACCAGAACTCCAATACATTCATTTGTTTGATGCACATTGTATTAATATCATTAAGAGATTTAATTGTGATATTTTGTCTTTCACCACATCTGCTATTCATCAATATTATTATGCCTTTCTTCTACATTTTTTTTTCTCTGATCTATTACATAAAATAATTTTATGGGTTTTTTTAAAGGATCCTTGTCCCTTAGCTATTCCACAAATAGCTAACGTTTCCTTGAAAACATTTCCTTGCAATGCTTGCTGCCATTTGCAAGACTACTGTTACTACTAGTTATAGGCAAGCTAGATTGGATAAAAATGACTCAGCAACAGCTGATCTAAAAATATTTATTTGAATATGAACACCAAAATGTTAACAATGCTGGTAAAGCTAGAGGAGTTTTGACAAAATTAAATTGTTCTGTTAAGTTCAGGCTTGGCTCAGAAAGGGCTGTAACTGCCAGATCAGATCCCTTAGCCCTTCCCAGCAAGAAAACCTCCGTTAAAAAATAGCCTTCTTAGCAGCAGCTGGTTGGTTTCTCATGTTAACTGTTCCTTGTTCTGCAAAACTTTAATGATTGTGTTTCTGTTACAGTGACGAACATGATGCCATCATTTAAAGAGACGTCAGGGAAGACAGAGTTGGAAACCCATCCTATCACAGTTGTTACAACTTACTTTCCTTTCATAAAGATGATCACGGTCTCTGAACCTGCCTTGGGTGTGATCCTGCAAAATGTTGAGAAGCTCTTTAAGCATCTTGATTTTTTTATTATTTTTTTTTTGCATTGCTTTCATAAGGAGAGGAACTCTGTGCTTTGTAGAAACAGGGTTTTCATTTTTCAGTATGTAACCAAATTTAAAGAAACGCACATACCGAGTTAATTTTAAGTACACACAGAAGTCTCTGAAATAGCTAATTACTAGCACAGTCAATAGCATCATTGCAATTCTAAACTGAATTATTTTTCCCAAATCATGTAAATCCAGTTTGTTCCATAATGGATATAGTAGGTCAAATAAGGTACCTTTAAAAACAAGCATAAGTTTTTGCAAGTAAAATACAGGTTTTTTCCCTAATATTTTGTAAGAAATTGTATTTATTTTGAACTTTGATGTGAACTTTAGTTTACAAATCTTGGATTTTTAACAATTCAGTTAGTTAATATTTGTTAGGCCATGAAAGGACATGGTTTGCTAACTGTATAGAAGGTGAGAATGAGTAAACTTAAGTCATTAACTGACCAGTGACCTGCAGAGACTTTCCTTAACAGACTGTACAGTGAGACTAACTGCAGGAAGCATGGACAGACTGGAAATAGCCATCCACAACCCTTTTCTCTACATGGGTCCTTCTAAGAAGGTGGACTATGCAACATGGACATAGCTTCTGTATTCTAGCATGTCCTGATGAAGCAGTGTGCAATTGAAGATGAAAAGGGAATGGGAAAAAGTAATTGTGCCATCATAAATATGATATAAAATATGAAAATTCCTTCTAAAATTTCTTTTAAGTTCAATGTAGCAATCACTTCACTCTTGGTTTTTATTATTATGAAGTTGTATGTAATGATCTAGCAACATTTTATAAGCATTGAAAGTTACACAGAGAAGTGTAAAATATGTAAGATAGAATTTTAGAAGAATATAATATGCATTTTTACTACTGTTTTCAGAACTAGGTACTGCTGCACAGTCCAAGGCCCACTGAAGGCAATGGGGCATCTCTCAGAAGGCCTTTAGGTTAAGGCCCAAATACACTGGAGGTCTTGCCCAAGATGCTGCTTCCATATGGCTTCAGCGTTCACATGGAGGTAACATGGAGTAGACAGACTCCTGATTACACTCTTACAGGTGTAAGAAAAACAGGAGCAAGGATCAAGAAACAGGCCTGCATCTCCTTGTGTCACTGTAAATCATTCAGTCCCTCCCAGGCTCCACTTTTAGACCTCTCTGTGATAAGAGGGTTGGTGTGGTGGGGCTTGACCATCCTGGTTACTTCTGGCACACATGCAGGACACAGATGGGAGGTGGCAACAGCTGAGGAAGGGCACTAGAGGAACTAACTGCATATTGGTCTGTCAGGGGCTGGGACAGAGCACATTGGGGGGAAAAAACACTGCAGCTCTGGCACAGGTTGATTTTTTTGTTAAGCAATGGTTTATTCTGACATACAAGGGTAAAGTAGCTGTCTGGATGTTTTTTCCTGTTATGTCCAAGGCGCTTCCAACTCCAGCAAACCATGGTGACTGATTAGACTTCAATAACACCAGCCCCACACCTGCAGTGAGCGTAGCAGGGCTGTTCCATCTTTTCCTGAGATTGAGGTAGAGGGGGAAAAGGGATTTCAAGTAACTTTTGTGATTTTTCTTAATTACATTGTTTGGTGAATAACTTCTGGTTTTGACTTGAAGACTTTGGAAACAGTTCTTTCATAGAACTGCATTTCCTTACTTTGTAGAAATTAAGACAGATAAGTGCAACCCAATTACTGGGATTGTCTCACCTCTGTTGTAGAGATGAATAAATAAAATGAAATATTTGGAGTTACTGTGTCAATTTCAGTTGGCTTTTTATTTTATTAGACAGTTGCATAATTCCCTCAACCTTTTCCTCAGTCATAACCATTCAATAAGAAGCGTTCACTATATATCTTTTCAAGGCCAGCAGACCGGACCTAATTCATTTTTGCCCAACTCAGTCACTTATAATGTATTTTGTAATCTCATTAATACAATAAAGCAAAATTATGTGGTGTCAGTGCAAATATAAAACCTGGCCTCCTTTCAGATGTTTGGATGCTAGCCAAAGAGAAGTGCAATTGATAGATCTTAACTTTAACTTTACATTGGCTTTCCAAAAGTAAGTGGAAACCCAACTTTGAGTTACATGTGAAGTGGGATGAACAGCACAGCTTTCCATTGTATCATACCACTGCTAAGCACACATTTGGATGTCTCTCCTGGAATCCTCTCTACTGTGGACCCAAATTTAGTCATGCTGTACACATGTGGAGGAGTTGACTGTATTAAATTAGTGAAATAGTAATTTAGTACTCAAAAATCCTGATAATGTTAACTAAGCATTGGCACTTTGTTTCTGTAAGGAAAGAGTATTTGAAAGGTTTTGCCACAGGAGTTGACCATTTTGTAGGCCAGTGCAAGGTATAAAGCTGAAGTATGAGCAGAAGACAGAAAGTGGACTTCTGTCTCATAGGCTGAAGTCTGGCATCATCCCAGGCAGCTGAGGAATAGAACACAGAATTTAATTTCTTGCTGGTACTGATGATGGTGTCAGGAGTTCATGGTTTTGTCTTGAGCAGGAACCCCTCTGGTGACACAGCACAGAACTGCATTTACAGCATCATGTTTTAAGGCCATCAGCAGCATTCAGTTGATTATTCCAGCTCTTTCACATGACGCCAAATACTCATTTTTAAGCCTTAAGAGTCATGATTTTGTGCTCAAATTAAAATTACTTATTACTTGCTTACTCAGTAAAATCACATACTACAACAGGATTAGGAAGTCATCAAATGGCTACAGAACATAAGCTACCTTAGGTCAAGTATCACGAATGTTACATTTGCCCTTTAAAGACATTCAGATCAGCCACATGACCAACTCTCAGGACATCAGCATTCTGCCTTCCTCCTGCACCTCTTTCCTTTATATGCAACTCTCTTTTAGCCTGTATTCTAGTATCAAATCACAGCTTTTCCAGATTAATTGCTTTGATGTGGTGCTGTGCATGAAAAGCTTCAAAAGAATCCAGAAATGCTGCATTTATATACTTGGGGGTTTTTTTAATTAAAAGAATAAAGCAAGATCACATTATTGTAACACCACTCAGTGACTTTAACATTATCCCTTTGTAAATCCAATTTCATACTTTTTCCTTTTTGTTCAGAGGCTGTTCAAGTGCTTACATACTCATGCCACTTTTTATTTTTGGCCTGAAGACATAGTATTCTTAATAGCCTTTACTGGAAAAAATACAAGCAACAAAATGACAATATTGCCAAAAGCAAAGTGGAACAGCATGAGAGACTGAAAACTGCCTAGATAGCTGAAGAGGTTAAGAATTTAGCTGAGAAATGGAAGCAGATAGAATGAGAAGGGACCTGGCCTGTGCTTAATGTAAGCACATTCTCTAGACAACACTGAAGGAGTCCTAGCTGATGTGTGGCTGAGCTGGCAGTGTTAAAAACAGGAAAGTTAAATGAATTTAGGAATCTGCAAACAGTTCAGGCACAGGGACTGCCAATTCCTGC